GGGAGGTGCCCAGAGGAGCCCATAGCGGCCTCCGGCACCGTTTCCGGACAGATCCGGTGGATCCGCTGGATCCGGTGACGAATCCCAAACCGGCGCCCTCGCTTGAGACATCCTCACAAAACCGGCCCCGGGGAGGTGCCCAGAGGAGCCCAGAGCGGCCTCCGGCACCGTTTCCGGACAGATCCGCTGGATCCGCCGACGAATCCCAAACCGGCGCCCTCGCTTGAGACATCCTCACAAAACCCGCCCCGGGGGAGGTGCCCAGAGGAGCCCAGAGCGGCCTCCGGCACCGTTTCCGGACAGATCCGCTGGATCCGTTGGATCCGCCGACGAATCCCAAACCGGCCCCGGGGGAGGTGCCCATGGAGCCCAGAGCGGCCTCCGGCACCGTTTCCGGACAGATCCGCTGGATCCGGTGGATCCGCCGACGAATCCCAAACCGGCGCCCTCGCTTGAGACATCCTCACAAATCCGGCCCCGGGGGAGGTGCCCAGAGGAGCCCAGAGCGGCCTCCGGCACCGTTTCCGGACAGATCCGGACAGATCCGGTGGATCCGCGCCCCGGGGGAGGTGCCCAGAGGAGGAATGAGGAGGAGGAGGAGGAGGAGGAGGAGGAGGAGGAGGAGGAGGAGGAGGAGGAGGAGGAGGAGGAGGAGGAGGAGGAGGAGGAGGAGGAGGAGGAGGAGGAGAAGATGATGGAGCTGCGGGGTGGAGGAGGACAGACGGAGGCAAGAGAAGGATGGAGGAGGAGGAGGAGGAGGAGGAGGAGGAGGAGGAGGAGGAGGAACCTCATCCTCACCCTCGCCAACAAGCGCACGCACCTTCTTCTATATACAGAAACTCCCGATCAATCGCAGAGCGGCCGGCTAGTAATAATCACCCCGACAAGCGAAGCCGTTTAGTAAACGCGCCCAGGGAAAGGATCGAATATTGCAGGGCTGTTTCATAAACGCCCAGGGCCGTTTAGTAAACGCCAGTTGTCGGGGTCGGGGTGTTTTTTCCTCCCTTGGGCTCTGCTGCAACTCCTGGGAGCCTCCCATACCATCCTGTTGGCTCTTGCGAACTGATGCTCGTCGACGCTCATCGACGCTAAGCGACGCTAAGTCGACGCTCGCCAACGCTGAATCGGCGCTATCCCATCGACTCCCAAATGCTGGTCGACGCTAAAGACGGAATTCAGAAGGTACGGCCAACACGTGTATCAAGGACGGGTGGTAATGACACAAACCCTTGGAGGTTGAAGTTTGAACTTTTGGGCTGCAGGCGACCAGTGAAAACGGCAACGGACGGGCCGCAAAAGGCAAGGACACAAAAAGGGTACCCTAGATGAAGGGGGGCGTCCTTACTAGGCGCGTTGACTCTTAACCACCTACGCCCAACTTGCTGGTGCGACCTGAGAGGGCTATGGCCTCGGGAAGCGAACGCGTATCGATTGAACATTGAAACCTGTTTGTGTTTACGAGGGAGCGTGGATCGGGGAGCACGAGGTTTGCTGCAGCTCCTAGGGAGTGTGACCTCGGGAGCGCCAGCGCGTCGTCGCATCTCAAGTGAAGTTGCGATCCTGGGGGCGCGAATGCGCTGTGCTTGCACGTGCCCCAACGCCTTGACTGTACACCTCGCTCCCGTGAAAACTGCTACAATCCCGGCCGGACTTCCGTACAATTGCCTGAAACATGTATGTATGTATGTATGTATATATATAATTTGTATGGCAAGGCTCCGACTGGCCCGAAACCGAAACACCCCCCGTGCAAAAAACAACAAATCGCTGCTCGCGTGCTGTTGACGCCCTTGTCGCTGCTGCTCTTGCAGAACGTACGGGGTGCAGCGACACGGGCGACACCTGCGTGCGAACGGCGAATTGCTCGGCGCGCGGAAACGGATTATTCCACATGGGCCTGATGAAGTGCGCAAGCTGCAAAGGCCGCGTGATCCAGATGGCCCGTATCACCAGCATGGGCCGCATGGGATGCGGGAGCCGCAAGGCCCTGCTGGAAACAAACCCCCGTTGCAACCCAACCCCTCGCCGAATAGCCGAGCAGCCCCGGGAGTGCAGAGCCGACCAGACAAACAAACCAACCAACCAACCGGCCAACCAACCAACTAACCGGATCCCCATGTGCGCCTATTTTTCTGGGCACGTCCCGTTGTGAGTGTTCGAGTGGGACCGTATTCGCCTGTGGCGACTAAGCGTTCTCTAATGGCTACCACTTGGGGTGCCCAGGTGACACGTCTGCTACGCCATGATGATCATATGATCCCAAAATAAACGAAGGTCCGTGGGTGCCACAACCAGTGTTTGTCGTAATGCGCCCCCACGGTCAAGCTGGGAACGGACAGGTGTAACACTCCATGGCGGCTTTCCACGCTAGCGTGCTCCATTGCTGCGTGTTGTGTGTATATATATACATACACATATATGTATGTATATTCATATGCATGCATACATACATACATACATACATACACACATACATACATACAGACAAATATACATGTATACATGTTTATAGATGTGTGAATTTAGATATGTATGTATGTATGTATGTATGTATGTATGTATGTATGTACATATATCTATATAGATATCTGACCGTATACAGACCTGTATGGGCATAACCTTTAAACCACGTGAAAACGCACGCCGCCTACCCTCGGTTTCATAACTGTTCTGGCTCAGCCAGACCCCGGGCGCGCAGGCGCGCATGCCCCGCCGCAGCCGCTCGCGGCGGCAGGCGCGCTGGCGCGACCGGGGGGGCTCCTGGCGCGGGTCCCAGCCTGGGGCATCCGCCTGCTGGAACAGGCCCTGGAGCGCGCGGGCGGGCGCGCGGCGGGCCTCCGCGCGGAGCTCGGGGTTCTCCGAGCGGTCGCGCGGCTCCTGGGGCAGGCGCTCGCGGAGGCCGAGGAGCTGGGGGCGCCCGAGCTCGGCCGGCGAGACGCCACGGCCGCTCGGCGGAGCCATGGCCGAGGCTGGCCCCGACGACGCGGACGGGCTGCTGGGCGAGCTGGGGTCGCAGGAGCTGGAGGGGGCCGACGAGGGCGAGGGCCCCGCTGCGGCAGCCGCGCAGCCGGGGCCCATCGTCATCGAGGCGCGCGAGATCTACCAGGGCACGGGGTTCGACTGTGCTGGAGCAGAGCAGTGCAGCTTTGTGTGGCAGGCGCTGCGGAGCAGATCGTGCGGCCGCGGTTCCTGTTCAGCGACGACGCGTGCTGGGACTGGTGGACGAGCTTCCCAGGAGTCGCGGGGGCCATCCGAGAGGGCGCCCCGCTGCGCATCTGCACCGAGGAGCCGTGCAACGTGGGCGCCCTCCCTCGGAACTGCCGGGAGGTGGTGCGCGTCAGGGACGCGCTGCGGCTGGACCTGGCGATGGTGGCCGACGTGTACGCGCAGTGCCTGGGCCACAACCCTGGGGCGACCTGGCCCGCGGACCTCCCCGGGCGTTCGCGGCTGGGCCTGGCGCGGCGCTGCGGCAGGTGCTCGACGCCTCGCCCGCGCGAGGCCCGCCGCAGGAGGAGCTCCCGCGCCCGTCGACGCGCTGCTCGGCGGGGGCCTCGCGCCGCGGGGCGGCGGGCCGAGCCTGGGCGAGCCGACCCCCGGGGGGGGGGCTGAGGCGGAGGCTCGCCGCCGCGAAGGGCAAGTTCGAAGGAGCTGCGCCCGCAGCGGCGGCCCCTAGTGCCAGCGGGTGCCGCGGAGCCGCGCCCGGCCGAGGTCAAGCCGCGCGCGCGAGGCCCGGGGGCGAGGTGCTCGACGAGAGAGTGGCCAAGGTCGCTCGGCTCCAGGACGCGGGGCCCCCGCGCGGCTCGCGCGAGCCCGCGACTGCGCCGCTGGCCGACGGGGGCGAGGCAGCAGGCGGAGCACGGGAGTTGGCGGCAGCCCTCATGGCGGCGATGAAGGGCTCGGCTGCGCAAGCCGCCGCAGGAGGAGACACTGCCGCTGCCTCGGACCCCCTCGGCGCGGGGGATGGCGGTGGCCTGCCGCGGGGCCTCGCCACCAAGCGCGCCTACTGCAGGAAACTCGCGCAGGAATCGCCTGGCTGGTTGAGCGAGCTCACGCTCGGGCATATGGCGGAGTTCCTCGGGGCGCTCGAGGGGGGCGCGTCCGTGGGCCCGACCTCGGCGCTGGCGCTGCGCTGCCTGCTGACGGTCTACCTGCCGCAGAACCCGGTGCGGCAGATCGGCGCCCCGATGTTCCGCGAGCTGCGGGCCCTCGCAGAGGCGATCGACGTCCTCCTGCAGGGCAAGGTGCAGCACGCGCTGGACGTCCTGACGCAGCGCGTGAAGGCGGCGCAGGTTGCGATCAGCGACGGGCACTGGGATGCGGCGAAGTGGCTGGAGCTAATCCACGCGAGGGACGAACCGACCACGCTCAGAAACGAGGGGGGGGGAGGAGATGATCCGCAGCATCGAGTTGGCGAGCTGAAGCTGGAGGAGCTCACGGCTCGCCTGCGGAAGCCCCTTTGAAAGGGGGGCCGGGGGGAGGCGCGCCCGCCGCTGGCGCCTCTTCCTTCTGGCCATGCGGGGGGGGGGGGGGGGGGGGCGCCGCAGCGGGGCCCTGTCGGCCGCCCGCCCGAGCGAGCGGCTGCGCCGAGGCCCGAGGGCAAGGCCGCTCCGAGGGGCCTCGAGCAGCGGGTCGTCAGGCTCGACGGGGCGCCCCTCGCCTTCAAGACCGCGAAGGCATCGCATGCCAAGAAGGAGGGCGAGAGCGCGAAGGCGTGCAGGACTCGACTTCTGGAGCTCATCAAGGACAGCAAGCCGCCGCCCGCGCGGAAGTACGGCCCGCTGGGCCTTGCACCGCAGCAGGCGCGATGCTCGACTTGGAGGAGTTCGCGACGCGGTCCCCGGCCTGTGGCAGCGGGCTGCTGCTGGTGTCTGAGGACCACCCCTGGCTGGAGGCGGAAGAGGCAAAGGGCCGCCGCGCGGCTGGAGCGCCTCCCAGCGGGGGGCAGCAGCTGGGGCTGGCGAGCAGTTCCTTTGACGAGAGTGGTGCAGCAGGCTGCGCGGCTGGCCCAGGCGGGCTGCCGGCGCTTCCGACCCCTTGCGGGAGCGCGCCCCCCGACGCAGGAGCGCAAGCGCAACGGGGCGAGCCGCCACGGGACATCGGCGAGTGGCGCTCAGGAGCCACGGCGCGCTTGTCCAGGGTCGACCTGGTGGTCCATGTTGTGCAGCTGGTGAAAGACCACCCTAGCAGCTTGGGAAGATTCTGCAGGCAATACCCAACACGCGTGACCACACTTAGAGGGAGCGGGAGGCGCGTTCGCGACCTGCTGCCGCTATCCCTGCCAGATATGGAAGCTGTCAGGCGATGGTCAACCAGCCAGAGGGCAGGCCGCGCGCCGAGGAGCCGCCCCGTCGCGCGCCAGGTCGCTGAGGACGCGTGGCTGCACGTGGTCGTGGTCGTCCTGAACCACAACTGCTGAGGCCGATGCAGTCGCGCCTGGAGGCACCACCCGACCCTCGCGCTCTCCCAGCAGAGGACCACGCGGTTCCTGCGCGAGCGAGTCGCAGCCTTTGTCGGGGACCCGTTCGACCAGGTCAGCGTGCCCGCGGCCGACGAGGCACTCAGTGGGGCGACGGTCGCCTACGCGGGGGAGCCGGTGGCCAAGGCCTTGCCCCGCGTGCTCGCGGAGCTGGCGCCCGGGCTGCGCAAGGCGGAGCACGCCGCGAGGCTGGGTGCCCTTGACGACGTGGGGCCCGAGGTAGCAGAGTGGCTTGCCTGCCCCGAGAAGGCCCTGCTACCCGAGGCGCAGTGGCCGAACCCGATGCCGAGGGTCAACGTGGAGAGCGAGGCCGACTGGCGCGACCTCGCGGTGCACCTCGTGAGCCTCGGGATCTTCACGGTGCTCCCAGAGGACGAGCTGGTCAGGGTCCGGGCCGAGCCGCTGCTCAACGGGCTCTTCGCCGTGGAGAAGAGAGGCCAGCCTGGGCCAGGAGCTATGCGGGTCACCAGGCTGATCCTCAACATGGCGCCAGGCAATGCACTCCTGAAGCCGCGCGTGGGGGAAGCCGAGGTCCTGGCAGCCTCCACGACCTGGGTGTCGCTGCACATCCCCGAAGAGAAGCTCATGCTGTGGTCAGGCGACGACCAGAGGGGGCCTTCTTCGTGTGGAGGGTCCCAGCAGCCTGGCACCCCTACATGGCGGTGGGGTGGCCGCTCCCTGGGGCACTCTTCGGGCGGCCCGAGAGCGTCGTCTGCCTTGCGTCGGCCGTCATCGCGATGGGCTGGATGCTGGCCGTGCCTGTGTACCAGCACATCCACCGCAGGCTGTGCCGCCTGCCGCCGCCCGCGGGAGCGGGGCTGCCCATCGAGCTGGAGTGGCGGAAGGACGACTCGCTCCCCGTAGTCCAGGCCTGCAGCAGCCAGGATGCGGGCTGGTGGCAGGTCTTCATCGACGACTTCGATGCCCCGGAGATCGTCGAGGAGAAGCGGGCCCGCCAGCTGCTCGGCACGGAGTCAGACCTCCAACGGCGCGCGCGGGACAGCTACCGGCGCGCGGGGGTCGCCTACTCGTCGGAGAAGGCGCACTTGCGACAGCTGCGCGTTGAACGCATGGGCGCAGACGTGGACGGGGAGAGTTGCAGGCTGGCGGGGCCCAGGGACAAGCTCCTCGCCACCGCCGCCCTCTGCCTCGCGACCCTGGCGGAGGACCTCGTGCCGTGGAGGCTCTGCATGACGGTCCTCGGGAAGATGGTGCGGACCTTCGAGTTTCGGAGGCCGCTCTTCTGCCAGCTGAACGCGATATGGGCGTTGTCCACGTCGCGGACGTCGGTGCGGTACAATGCCGAGATGGTCGAGGAGCTGATCTTGAGCATCATGCTGCTGCCCACCGCGGCTACCTCCATGCGCAGCCGCATTGACGGCATGGCCACCGTGTCCGACGCCTCCGAGTTCGGAGGAGGCGTTTGCGTGTCCACGGGCTTGAGGCGGGGCGCCGAGCTGGCGCTCAATGCCTGCGGCGACATCACGGAGCACCTCGGCGTTGGCGCGCGGTTCCCCAACATGCCAGCCGACCCGCAGCGTCCGTGGATTTCTTCGAGCCCGCGCATCCCGAAGGGAATCGTGCTCAAGGTGCTGAACGTCCTCGTCATCGGCCTCTTCGACGGCATCGGGGGCCTCGCCGTGGCGTTCTCGAGGCTGCCGGTGCGCATCGTGGCCTACGTCGCGGCCGAGACGGATGCCAAGGCCAGGCGAGTGGTCAGACTGCGATGGCCAGGTGCGGTCGACGGGGACCTGATCCAGGACTTGTGCGACACGTTCAACGACAGCGTCGACATCTGCGTGGCGGGCGCGGGGGCCCCGTGCCAGGACCTCTCGCGCCTCGACCTCAGTGGAGGGGGCCTGCATGGGCGCAAGAGCTCGCTGTTCTTCGAGGTCCCCAGGATCTTCAAGCTCCTGCGGCTGCTCCTCGGCGCAAAGCTGCACGCGCTGCTCGAGAACGTCGCGAGCATGGCGGAGGACAACGTGCGGGCCATCTCTGAGTGCATGGGGGTGGCCCCGTACCTC